CGTTAGAAACGTTGTTTTACTTTTGCCTGCTCTTTTCTGTAGGGGTTGGCACAAAAAGCAAAGTTTTACAAAATCTTTGGCAATTGTTTTATGCCTGATGCCTTTCCTGAAGCAACTTGCACTTGAACCTCCAGTTGCAGGATTACAAGACCACCAGGCTACTCCAAACTCCCCCAGTAAAGCTAGAAAGTTTGACAAATTCTCATTTTCAGAATCAAAGGCAGAAAAGTAAATGATACTGTACCCCAAGTCTAACCAAATCATGACAAACTCTGAAGGGGACAAATACCTTTGATGTCTAGGTCAGATGTACGATTGGATATTGTTTTCGTCTTCTTCTGGTCGTTCCTTCTTCAGGGGTCGCCACAGCGAGTCATCCTCCTCCATCTCACTCTGTCCTTTGCATCCTCTGTCCTCACTCCAACTACCTCCTGTCCTTTCTAACTGCATCTATACATCTTCTCTTTGCCTTCCGTTGTCTTTTTCCTGGCAGCTGCATTTCTAACATCCTTCTACCAGTATACCCACTGTCCCTCCTCTGGACATGTCCAAACCATCTCAGTCTGGCCTCTCTAACTTTATCTTTGTTCTTCAACCTGTGCTGTACCTCTGATAATCTCACTCCTAATCTTATCCATTCTTGTCACTCGTAAGGAAAACCTCAAAATCTTAATTTCTGCCACTTCCAGTTCTTTCTCCTGTCTTTTTGTCAATCCCACTGTCTCCAGACCATAAACATAGCTGGTCTCACCATTGTCTTGTCAAGTTTACCTTTGACCTTTGCTGACACCCTTTTGTCACAAATCACTCCTGAAACTTTTCTCCATCCACTCGATCCTGCCTGGACTAGTTTTCACCTCTTTACCACACTCCCCATTTTCCTGTACAGTTGACCCCAAGTACCTGAAGACCTGCACCTTTGTGACCTCTGCTCCTTGTAACGTCACTGTTCCATCTGCTTCCCTCCCTGCTTACCAATAAATACTATCTGTAATGAGCAAAAACCCAAAAAAAACTAAAATGTTGCATTTTACAAAATGTCCGATTTACTAAATTAATACTTAAAAAAAATCAATACTAACAGTATTAATTGTAAAATTCACTGGGGCGTTCTAATTTGCTGGCAATTCCTAAATGTTCCATTTTTATTATTATTATTATTATTTTACATTAGTTTTATTGTATTTATTGTTAAGAACAATTCTTCCACCTCTACCCCACCTACAAGTGATAATCCAAATCTGTCAAGTTTACAAAACGTGAAAATATATTCTAATATTTCCTTAACTTCTTTTTCCTTGACCTGACACTAATAGGGTTTTAAAGAAAGGAAAAAAAAAACAATTCCAGTAATTACAGATATGGTACAAATGCTTTTTGCACCTGTTTGATTTCTTTCCAGAGTATCGGTAGTAAAGAAAATGTAGTGCACTTTTCAGTTTTTTTTTAAAGGCTGCATGAATGTGGGACTTTTTCAACTTATGGAAAGCCCTTTGTGAAGCTAATAAAAGCGTAAATTGATTGGAAAACACTTTAAGACAGAAGATTTTGTGTAAAAAGCTTTTTTCTCTGTTATAGATTTCAGTTTTTAACATCGCAACGAATCATGGCTAAATGCATATCTTACTGTAACCAACAGTTCTGGAAGTGTCAGTATGTTCCACTTAACATCATGTCTGTCTGCATTTCCTTCAGCCTGTCCTTCACATTCACACTTAATCAGCACCGTAAGCTGTTCACACATATGTGGTGCACGTTTTGATGTTAGTGTTTGTGCTCCTGCTCATTACCACTGAGGAGTAATGCATGATTTTAGCATGGGTAAGAGTGCAGTAAAGTTACCATGATGGCAAAAGTAAACTAGAGAATATCCTAATGCATGCTCAATAATCCATGTAGAAAAATCTAAAAATGTTAAATCTGGTCCTCTGGACATTCAAAACAAAACCATTTTTTTTAGAAATGTTTCGTCTTTCATCCGAAAGACTTCCTCAGTCTTAAATGAGAGAAGTTGCATTTTCTGCTAAAATGCAGGGTGAAAGCTGTGACCTGAATGACTTTGGGTGAATTTTGCAAAAGAAGCTGAAATTGAGTTGTTAAAGCTAAAAGAAGCAGAACACTAGCTAAAACTCTAGCCCAGGAGGAGAAAAAAAATGCTAGCAAGAAGCTAAAAATACCTAAACAGTGTCTAGAAGCTAAAAGTTGCACAGTTGAGAGTAGTGAAAGGATGGCTGAAACATATAAGTATCAAAATGCTAGCTACAAACTGAACATAGCAAAAGATTAGCTAAAAAGTAACACAATGCTAGCTAAGAATGGTAATGTAATGGTAGCAAAAAACAAAATGTATCAAAAGGCTAGCAAAGAGTTAAATGTATTGAAATTACTGTGAAACAAATAAATAACCTAAAAGGATCAGAGTGGCAGCTAAAAGTAGCTAAAGGCGAGCTAAAAGATAATAGCATGAGAAAAAACAAAAATACAGCAAATACACTTCTAGCAGCTGAAATAGAACAAGTGCATAAATTATGTAGAACAGAAATTTGAAATGGGGATGCAAAAACATGAAAAAATGGCATTCTTCTTAAAATACAATTTTATTTGTGAATTTACACAGATTAGCAATACATCTAAAAGCAACTCCATTATATAACCATTTTATATAGGATTTTCACAGGTCACAAAGGAGCTTGGCTCATACAGGCGTGCCAAAGTAAAATGTGTTATTTTTCATTTAATCAGAAAAAAAGATGAATACAGAGGCATTAGTAAAGCAAGGTGCAAACGGACAAAAAAAAAGGTGTGGTGGCAATAAAAGGATGAAATGCACATTCAGTTCATTTGGGAGCAATATCTGCCCATAAAATGCTCAATAAAACGAAGCCTAGTGCTCCCTACAAACTAACAGAAAATAGTGTACTGCGATACAAATGAAGGATGAAATAAAAAAAGACAGTTTGAGTGATGAAACACGGTGTTGATGTCAGGTTGTCCATTCTCCACGTCCCTCTTGACTACACTATTCCATTTCCAGACCTGCACATCCCTACTCCATCTTTCAATTGTGTGAGCTGAGCTTGATGCCCAGAGCCAAAAAGCTGTTATTTAATACAGCTAAAGATGTTCCTTTGCACCCTCTCGCCCTTCCTCCAAATCCAATACTTCACATTGCTAGTTGGGATATTGGGACATCTACTTAAACTGCAAGGGAGGGGGATATTTGGGCAACCCATCACACCACACAGCAGAGTTCAACTGCAGGTCATCTGACTGTTGCAGCACAATTGTGTTTACTGAAGAAAATGCAGAAGAGAAAGATTCAAGGGAAAACAACATGGCTCCCAGTGTGATCAAATACAAACAAATGTCCATATGAGCTCCCAATGATGTTCCAGTTCTGAGGAGAAATTGGCAAATTATGCAAGAATAAGTGAATGTTGAATCTTGTAAAAAAAAAAAAAAAAAGGAAACCAAAACTGATTTAGGATGAGAGATGATGCGGTCACTGTGGGAACGGAATTTTACAAAGGTCTTGTGTGGGTCTGTGAAGCCTGAGCAGGCAGATAAGAATCACAACCCTTGTCTCAGTAAAACTACAAAAGATAAATTACAGTATGGCTTTAGAACACACAACACATGAAAAATTCTGATTCCACTCAAAACAGCGCAGCATTTAGCTGCTGATTTAGGAGTGAAACCCAGACATCCCTCTCTCCAGCAACACCTTCCCACTCTTTCTGAGGGATTCCAATGTGTTCCCAGGTCAGAGAGGATATACAGGTATAATCAGGTTGGGTTTATCCTGGTGTCTCCTCCCAGTGGGATACGCCAGGGAAGCATTCTAATCAAATGCCCAAACTACCTCAACTGACTCATTTTGATGCAGAGGAGCAGCAGCCCTAGTTTATAGTCCCCCTGACCATGGAGCTATTCACCTCATCTCTAAGGCTGAGCCCCCAAAGAAAATTAATTTCAGCTGTGATCCAAAATCTTTTAGACATGTCACAGGTGGGACATAAATAGATGAGTAAATTAAAAGTTCAGCTTCATTTTCACCACGATTCGGAGCAACACTCTCATTATGGCAAACAAGGCCTAATGCATCGATCCATCTCCTGCTCCACCCTACCATCATTCGTAAAAAAAACAAGACAAATACATTCTCCCACTTGAAGCAGTGACTACCCCCAATCCAAAGGAAGCATCCCACCTTTTTCTGTAAAGAACTGTCCCCAGTAAGCACTGGCGGTCATGACTCATAGATGCCAACAGAACTAGCGCAACATCACTTGCAAATAGCAGAGATGAGATGCCGAGGTTCCCAAACCACACAACCTCCTCTCCACAATTGTGCCTTACTTGTTGAAAAATAAAAATCTTTTGTGATGTTTTCCATGTTCTTACTACTCACTAATGAGATTATCCCTTTTTTTTTAACTTCTTACAGCTCACTTTCCTGATCCCAGCCTTTTACGAATACAAATGCCTTGCTTGCTACTTGCATGACTTCTACCCATACGGGCAAAACCTCCTTCACTGGTGAAAACACATTTGCAACTAAAATGTGTTGCGTAGTGAAAAAAGTGCTGCACAACAAATACGAAATATAAAGTTACAAATCTATATCCAGTTCTATTATTCTGTTATGTAGTAACTTTGTGTTTTGAAGACTAGGATACAACTTGAGCAGAGGACAAAAATAAATTTAACTGTTGTTAAAAATAGTAAATGTGTTTTTTTAATCAAAACAAGGTTGGTCAACATAGTTTAAAATTGAATTAAAACGATCAACAGAGATGATTCATAAAAATTATTATTTTTTTTGTCATTCTTTCACTTATTTTGACCAAAAAAATAAATCATATGATGATAAGAAAATGTAAAACTGCTACATAAATATGAGCTAAATGAGGTGATCAACTGAGACTTCAACCTTTTTATGCAATCTTCTTAAGAAAAAACTGCATCTAAAATAGTTTGAAGAATCATAAAAAGCCAGTTGGAGAGAAAACTTCCCTCAGAATAACAAACCAGCACAAAACTGTTTTGCTTTTCCTTCCCCCTAAATCAGTTTTCCAGTGACTCCCATGTTTTCTGTGGCCTCTCGTGTCTTATGCAGAATCAAGAAAACCACAAACCTGTGCAGTTTAGAAACACTCACGATACCGTCCAGTACGTTCAGAAAATGGGATAATAAAGCAAGAAATGCAAATAAAGGCTTCACTTTTAGATTTCTGAGCCTAGGGGGAAAACATAAAAAGGAGCCAGTTGTTCAGGATTTAAACAAGACTTTCCAAGGAGCCCTGTTAGAGTACTGCATGACTTATCAGGTATGTGGACACACCAACACCTGCCCTCACCACCCTCACCTGTTGCAGGTTCTTTTGATGGACTCGCATCCATCCCAAAAGTTTCCAAACATTCTTGTCTGTTTGCAGAAGGACAGAGATTTTCTATTGTTTTTATTACAAACCAACAGTTTTTTTTTTTAAATATTTCTTCTGCTTTTTGCACATAAAACCTCTTGTTAAAAAAAATCAAATAAAATTAAAAGAAAAAAAACAACATAAAAGAACAAAAAAATACACATATGTTAAACAGAAATAAAGGGTTAATGCAGCCCCACTTTCTTCTTCACGCTCATCCTGACTCCCCCATTTGCACTCAAGCCTCCGTTTTCTCTTTCTTTTTGTTTTTCTTCAGGAAGGACGGCGTGCGAAACTTCTTCTTCTTCTTGGTGTTGGGCGACTTGGAGGGGGAGCTCTCGGGCGACAGCACCTCCTCGATCTTCTCGCTGGCGCTCACTGTAATCTCCACGCTCTCCACGCTGGTGGTCAGCTGACTGACGCGCTTCGACAGCTCGTCGTCGTGCTTGTCTTTGCCGTTCATCAGGCCTGTGTGGTTTTCTGGGGATGGAGTGAGACACTGATTAGGCAAAGGCTTTCCAGAATTCTGCTTTAGACAGTCAATGAGTAATATTATTGGGGACTGCCTAGTATAAGGCAGACACCTATTATTATCCACATGACAAGGGTTTCCTAACTTTATTTATGTATATCTTAGGCTTACACAAAACTGAATACAAGTATGTCATTCTTTGAGATAATGAGCTGAAATTTAGTATGGTCGTAGCTGAGAGAGAGTTGTTATACTGGACATTCCTGATGCAAATCAAATATCCAAGATGGCCGCCTTAGCTAAAAGGGAAAAAATGTGATAACTCAGCCATATTTAGAGCTATTCAGCTGAAATTTGGTGTGTTGGTACCTGAGAGCAATGCCCATTAAATACGGAATTCAAATCTAAAAATTCAAGATGGCCACCAAAGCTACATTTAAATAGCTTTATCTCAGCTATTTTTACACATAGAGCTGAAATTTGATGAGGTTATAGTTGAGAACGTTCTCTATCACATACTGAATCCAAATCAAAGATCCAAGCTTTTAGCTAACTTAGTCTTAAGTAATAGGGAAAAAATATGATAACCTATTTTAGAGCTATTCAACATTTGGTGTATTGGTAGCTAAGAACAATCCCTAATTAAAAAAAAGGAAAAATGAAATATACTATAAATCAGCCAATTTTAGTGATATTGAGCTCAAGTTTTGTGATGTGATAGCTGAGAACGTTTCTCATCAAATGATGCATCCAAATCAAAAATCCAAGATGGCCACCATGTGGCCTTATTGTTCCTTTTAAGCACAGAAATGGGTTTATTTCTGAGTGTGTATGTATGATAGCGGTGGTAAATAGGAACAATTCAGAGAATTATACAAATAATGATAATGGATAAATGTACAGTTATTGTTGCTTTTCTTTCAGCTACTCCCCTCTGCAGGGGTTGTCACAGCAACAAACTCGCAGAAGAGGATTGACAAGTGTTTGATGCCTGGTGCTTTGTCTGCCCCATCCCGTGCTCAAACCTGCAACCTGCAGCCTCAGGTTTACGAGACTGCAGCAGTGACCACCGAGCTACCACAACCCCTGGATAATCGCACAATAAACCCTTGAATATTAAACTGTAAACATAATATCTGTCCCATTATGTTCTGTTACATTATTTAGTGTTTTACTAAAAAATACATCTCAAATAAAGACCTGAATGGTTTACAGTGTAAACTTTACACTGTCTGTTTTTATGCTTTAATGTTTCAACTGTATTTTTGTAAGACATGGCTCTGTACAAACCTGTTGCAGGAAGCACTAAACATGCTAATTCTATTTAAAATGTGTTGAAATTACATTTTCAGCTACTCATCAAGCTTTGTGAACAGTATTTCGTAACATCCCAGTCTTAAACAGCCAGGTGATCCAGAAGATTTGCCCTCCTTTCAACCTCACAAAACGGGGCTTTGAACAGTGGCGTGAACCCGCTCTGGTAATGACTGTTCACGTAACAGGCTTGACAGCATCACATTCTGTTCTTATGCAGGTTACAGGATCCAGGGCAACCGTTTCATGTTACAACACTCAACATGGAAGGCCTCTTGAGTTATTTACACCTTGAAACTCACGTGATGATATTAGGAAGCAGCAAATACAACAATTGACCTGGTCTGAGCAGTAGAACTGGCTGGGTGTCAGAAAATATGGGCCCCCTGAATTAGTGTGCTGTAAAAGAGTAATTGCTGTTGTGTAGATTTGCGTGTTTGTGTTGGAAGGAAGCTGACAAGAACTTGATTCAATGGTGCCAATATTTACAGCTGGCAATGGGTCTTTTGTGATCTTTGTGCTTCTCTGAGGTACATTAAAAAGTTCTAATGTCCGACAGCAAAACTTATGTATTAAGAAGCAAAATATTGCAGATCCTGACTGCAGCAGCAAACAACAAACCATCCCATGTGACATTACTTAATTACATGTCACTTATCTCAGAATTATGCAAAGTTTTACAACAAAACTCAAATCTAAAACCAAAGAAAACAGTTAGTAAAAAAAGTTTTAATTAGCTGTGCACATACAGATACTAAACTGTGCATTAGACATTAGCTTGTTCTGGGCCAGAAGTCATCTAAATATGGAGCTGCTGCAAGGGCATGTATTTGTTTAGTTTAGCATAATGACAGAAAAAGCTGCTTTTTAGTTATGAAACTGATACAGCACACATCAGCCTTTGATGATGTAAAGCCCTTTTTATTTTATTTAGTGAAAAAAGGACATAGAACAGAGAGAGACTGCATATTTGCCACAGCTCTAAGTTATATTTACGAGAATACACTTGCTATGTTTAACATGTCACATTGTGCAATATACTGTTCCTGATTAAATAAACCTCTCCTAAAATTAAACGTTTAAATAAATAAATAAACAAATAAATAAACAAATAAATAAATAAAGTTCATGGAATGACCGCCTAAGGTTAGAACTTAAAAAGTTAATCCAAAGAAATTCCTGTTGACTTTATGTCAAATCACTTCAATTCATAACTAAAATAAACTGATTATAACATATTGAAATGGAAATCATCACTTACTATTTTTACGTTTTGATAATTATTTGTCTTTTACTGCTTAGTTAGACCTACTTGGTTAAGGTCAGGAGTTTATTTAGGTGTTGGTTTACATTTTGTACTTTTTTTTCTCCTCTTCATTTGTAATGCATATAAAAATGCACGTTGACTGAGCATGTAAACACGAGAACTGTGTAGATGAACAGATGCTGGGATATATTCATCATTTAACGCGAGTTCCTCATTTTTCTGGACTGAATAAAACGTGCACTGAATTTAAGGAAATGCAAAGTGAGACGTCATTTAAATTTGACCCATCAAAATGAATGCGGTCATTTATTTACAGAATCAAATTTAACATCAAACATTTACATTAATTTGGCAAATTATGAAAATAACAACAAAGCAATCAATCAGGAAAAATCATACGGCCATGATTTTTCCGTTGCTGCACCAACAGACATTTATAACTGTACAACTATGATCTTTTACCCACATGAATGTGGGTAAGCACTTTACACAGACATTTCTAAATATCTGGGAGAATTTCTACTTGATAGAAAAGTTTAAGATGAAAGATGAAGTTTAAAGGGGAGAAAGATGGTGTTTGAGGTAGAGTGTTGAACAGAACGGCACTCTCCGGGCTTTCTTCAGCTTTTCCTCACAGTACACTTAGGTGGTGAAAACGACTCTTTTACCTGGAGATGTCTCAGGCGAGATTCCGTTTAACGCACCCTTTCAGCGTCTCCGTAGGATGCTGTTACTCGTCCGGAGTAGCTGCGAGGTTCTGTCAGCCACAGCTCACCTCAGTGGAAAATGTTATAATCCCATGGAACTCGGAAGAGCTTCGTTGTCATGTCAGGAACTCCAACAGCACTCCATCAGAACTCCAGAACTCTAGAAGTCTGACAACTCTCCAACTCTGAGTACCTGTGTGTCTCTCCGTGTCCCTGTGAGTCCGTAGAGTCTGTGTAGACCAGGAAGTACTGACATTTTAAAGACTCTTTCCCGGTTCACTTTTGGGATTTTTCATTGGTCAGAAACGACCAGAAGGGGTGTGTTTTTGTGACGTAAGAGGTTAGAGACAGCGAGAATTGTTATGAGACAGCTCAGAAATGTTCTCACAGACCGAGAGGGTTCTGTTTTGGCGTGCCTTAAGAAACAGGTGCAAAACATCTCTATTTACGTCTGAGAGGATTCTAAAACATGACAGTTTTAACATAACAACTTGTTTTTCGTTTGACTGTAACCTTGTAAACGCACACACTTGCTCATTCAAAAGCAGAAATCAGAAAAATGCATAATTACTCTGCACAGCTTTTAACATGAGAATAAAATCATTACTCAGTTAATAAAATTGATTAGTTCACTGCAACATCTAAAATGGTTTGAACTAAGACACTTTGATTATCAACATTTGTAAGATAGTAATGATAATAAAAAGAGAGTGTTCTTTTCACTTGAATCTTCAAGAAAGAAAGTCTCAGGATGGGTGAACCTGTATTTATGGAGTCAAATACATGAAATGACAGCTTCTGTCCCACAAGGTTCTAAAGGCCAAGAGTTTTGACCTTAGACTTAGTTTCGACGTAGGCCTAGTCCACTACAACTGCGTACGGCCCATCGACAAAATGTTAAACAGCAATACACCGAACTAGCAAAGACCTTGTATAAACTTTGTCCTTGATTTGTGACTTGATATTGAAGCTGGGGTGGTATGTGACACTCAGTCTAGTGATGATGCACAAGTGTATCAAGTTTCATTAAATTATCCTGAGCAGATCAGAAGTTATGACCTGGAGAAGAGAAAGTTTACAGACATACCAACAGAGACTATACCATGACATGTCTGTCTTACCATGGGAGTATAATAATAAAAAAAAAATGGTTTTGAGGGAAATATTTTTCTCCCAAAGTCCATCTCATTGCACTTTTCTGGCTGTAAACCTAAAACAGCAGTTGTGAAATGCTGAATTTTATTGCTTCAAACCGTTAAGAAAACATTAAGATGATTTCAAAGGACTGTTTAATGTATATTTAAAGGGCATATGTGGTTCTAGCTCCTTACACAATCTAAACAAGGAAATTTAGGGTGTAAATAATTCACACAATTGTTTTATGTTAGATTAAATGTTTTCAGTTAATTTTTACAGTGAAAGTCAGGAATTTTGCATTTAATATAACATTACCGGTAATATGTTATTGTATGCTGCTACTGCCAGAGTCTTAATGGGAGTTACTGGGAGAGATCATATCTCTCCAGTTTTAGCTTTTCTCCATTGGCTCCCTGTCAAATCCAGAATAGAATTCAAAATCTTACTTCTAACCTACAAAGCTCTCAACAACCTAGCTCCATCTTATATTACAGATCTTGTTGTTCCATATTTTTGTAACAGAGCACTTCACTCTCAGACTGCAGGCTTACTTGCGGTTCCTAGAGTTTCTAAGAGCAGAATGGGAGGATGATTTTTCAGTTGTCAGGCTCCTCTCTTAAGGCACCAACTTCCAGTTTCTGTCCGTGAGGCTGACACATTGTCCAGTTTTAAGACTGAGATTAAGACTTTCCATTTTGATAAACCCTATAGCTAGGGTTGGCTTGTTATTCTGCCATAGGCTTAAACTACTGGAGGACAAATTGACTTAATTTCTTAAAATGAATTGTTACAGTTGAATAGTTTTCATTTGATATTATTTCTATCTTATGTGATTCTCAACCTGCCATTGTGTATCTATTCCTCCTTCTTGTTCCTCTCAAACACAGCTGGTCGAAGCAGATAGCCTCTTGTCCTGAACCTGGTTCTGCTAAATGTTTCTTCCTCATGAAGGAGTTTTTCCTTTCCACTGTTGCCTTTATGCTTGCTCAAGATGAAAGTCTGCGATGAAATTAAACTCAAAGCAGTCAGATAAATAATGTTATTAACTTACCTTTATGTATATGAATGTTTCTGTTCAGTGCCCGGAGATGATTCTGTTGTCTTGGCCGCTATATAAATAAACTGAATTGAATTGTATGTGTTTGATGTTGTCATTTTTTTCTTTCAACTGCTCCCTTCTGTAGGGGATTCCATAGCGAGCAAACTTGGTATGATTTGGTAATTATTTTACTTCAGATGTCATTCCTAGGATCAAACCTGCAGCCTCAGAATAACCAAGCAATGGCGCTGACCAGAGCTACTGCAACCCCTAATAATAATTGATAATAAAGCAACTAAATATGCTACATCAATCTAACCACTTTGATTCCAACTGAAAAAAGATTGTCCCAAGGTGCTATCCTTACATGCATCAATTCATTACCACGTCCATTTAAACAACCAAATTTAAAGGAACAAGCTGACATAAAAAAAATAAAATAAAAAAAATCTGACATTTTATTTCTTAAGGTGCAACGTTTAAATAAAAAATTTTCATAATCTCAGGAAACTGATATTCATCACAGTTTATACATTTAAAAAATATCCAATAGCTATGTGGCATTTTCTTGCACGTTTGTTTTTCTCATTTCACCTCAAAGAAAACTTAATATATTAAGTAATCTATGTGATGAATTTTACCATCTACACTACTTCTGCATGTGAACTAAATAAAAACCTCTGCCTCAGGGCGAATAACAGCAAAAATTATTTAATAAAAATCTTCAATCTTTGAGTCCAACTCAGGTGTGTTTTAATGTGAAAATAGTGCAACATTACGTTACAACACAAGGAAGTTGTGTGAAACAGCATATTCTGTTTTTCTGAGTTAAAAAAAAAAGTTACTCTCATGCTCAAACGTGAAGACGAATCAGAGACAAACAGTCATGCAGATTATTCAGAAACTGTGTGTTTGTGAGTGATACCTTCTTTGGCAGGAGTGCTTTGTGGAGACTGAGTGACAGACAGAGACTGAGACAGAGTGGAGCCATCATCAGAAGTTAGCTCGTGCTCGCCATCTGCAGGGATGGACGGGAGGATCGCAGCGTGGGTTGAGGTTAAAGAAGAGGACAACAGCGAGGGTGAGGGGATGAGAGGTTGCAGGGATTTAGGATGGGAGGTCAGGGTGGGAGGTTCAGAGATTAGTGATAACACACACATAGACATATTAGAATAAGGCCATGCACAGCTGGTTCTTCACAAAAAAAACTTCAAAAATCCTCGTTTCCTGATCATCAGACTGTCTCTCGGCCCTTTTTATCTTCGTTCCTGAGCGTGGCTGAGCACGCTCTGCAACATATTAAGCTCTAATATCCCAGTGAAAGACAGATGCTCTGAAGTACAGCTTACTGACTGCAAGCTGGACGTGACTGCAAAGAAGTGCAACTGTTTCCCTGCTAAACCTCGTGTAACAATGTGCTGTGTATATTAAACATTAAGCTTCAGAGGACTTTTATTATAAATTAATGTCTAAATACTGCAGAGTTGTCAATTAAAACCTGACCAGACAGGTCCTATCAACAAAACTTTGAGATAACCATAAAACATTGGAAGAATACAGCTGATCTTGTATTATTGGTCTAATCTTTATTATCCTAAAGATAAATGCTCATCACTGACTTCATGAGATCAAACTAGGTGGAGGTTTAAACAACAGTTTTTGCTTTGACTACAAAAAAAAAAAAAAAAAAAATCATATTTGGCTCTATGCAGATAACTTGAAGTTTTATAAAAAAAGGGAAAAATAATTACGCAATGTAATTTTGTTTCTCATACATAGTAAAAACATTGTGATCATTCAGTTGAGTAGCATTAGGAGCTTTGTTAGTTTTAACAGCTGAGTGAGTGGATGACATTCGCAAAAAGTAGAGATGTACCGATCCGATACCAATATTGGAATCGGTACCGATATCGGGAAAAACTTCTGGATCGGGTATCAGTGACAATGCAACCGATCCATGACTGAGCAGATTTATTCACTCTAATTCTATGCTTTGTGCTCTGAGTGACGTCACATGCTAGCATACTGACTGAACAAATTAAAGTTGTGTTGTTTTTACGTGTTTGATCAAGCTTGTGAAGCTCTTGGTGTGTTTAAATGTGCTGTTATGGTGCAGAGTTTTCAATAAATTGTAATTCAGTACATTCATGTGTGCGTTTAACAAAACAAATCTTTTAAGTTAATTCAGCACTGGGTTTGTAAGCTCAAACATCCAGGTAGACAACAAAAATGGCTAAATCATGTCATCTGGACCTGCTTCAGAAATGGGTCCAGATGACATGATTTAGCCATTTTTGTTAATTCAGCAGTTTTTCTGTATCAGATTGATATCGGATCGATATCGGACGACATCTAACAGCAGATATCGGTATCGGATCGGAAGTGGGAAAAGTGGATTGGTGCATCCCTAGCACATTATTAGCTCAAAAGATGATCATAGTTCATGTTCATAGTCTGTTGTTACACTCCTTCACAGCAAAAACAATGAGGTTGCATGCCAGCCTGGCCTGTGCTCGTTAACGTGCTTATATATTCTGCATGTAAGAAAATAAAGTTGTGCAACATGTTGACATTTGAAATATCATCTCATTCCAAGAGAACAAACTGAGAGTAATCAACAAAATCTACAATAACTGACCCTTTTTTTTTACATTTTGTGTTTAAAATACATTTTTTCCTTTTCAGATGATGAACACGCTACAGGATGTAGTTTATCACAGGAAAAACCCTGCAAACGCGTGTGTGTGTATGTTTATGTGTGTCGCAAGTTGGGCTTGGATCAGGCCCTCCAGACGGACTTCAGCTTGCATCCAGATGGGTCACCGGGGATTCATGGGGCTGTGGGGGCAACAGTGTCATGGCAACGGGCTCGGCTCATGTGGCAGGTGTGAAGACCTGCTGTCAGTCCGGTCTGCCGTCTTAGTCACACTGGCTTGTCATACTGACTCCAGCTCAGTGGTTCATTTGCACACGCAGTCAAGAACATTTGGACTTGTCCACACACATGCATGAACACATGGCCTTGATGATGCACGCAACCACGTAAAAACAACCACTGTTAGATCTGGTCCAGTGCGCCTGGAGCTCTGCAGAGGGATTGGTGAACGATCACTATACGTTCACTGTTGACTTACTGCTTTCCTCAGTGAAAAACCAATACGATTACCATTGATTGGCGTGTGTGCAGATACAACAGTCTGTGAGGAGGACACCCCCACATGTTACAATACGCACAACATGTACGCTTGTTATCACTGTAGATAGGAGCCTATAAGGGGCTGGCTGCTAAGGAGACGAAGCAACGAAGCTGAGTTGTATGAGAGTTCATCTCATGAAGGGTACGATCGCTGAACACATTTTAATCCAGATTAGGTTAAAGAGCAACTGGAAATCTGCCTCTGCAGCTGAGTTTGAGCTGCTAGTTAATAACTTTACCAGGTTTGACCAGGAGAGAGTCTTATCTTTGAAAAGATACTTTTGACAAAAAAAAAGGAATAATTCCAACAATTTTAAAGGGGATGACACGGATCAGACATCTGTTGTAGGTTAAAACCAATAACTATTGAACTAATTAAAGTCTGAAACCTTTAGCTTTCAACTTCTGAAGCAAAGAGATGACAATTAGTGACAGTAAAGTACTTTAAGAGCTTCAACCGCTGGACTTGGGAGTTATTTGGTTTTGCCCTTAGGTTCAGACACATAAAAAAAAACACATCTTGAAGACAAATGCTCATAAATGCATCAGAGAGAAGTGCTTTTCAGTTTAAAAGTAAACATCTGCTCTTAAATTTGGTCTCAACTACTCAAAATAAGAGTTCATAATTGTGCAGCTAACTGCTTCTTTTCCAGTTTACAACTTGTCTCTCTCTTTGAATTCTAAAAATGGTGATTGTCTATTGATTATTGATCCAATTTGTTTAAATCCTGCCAATATTTAGCAGTAAATTGACTCTCAGATTTCATTTCTGCTTGTGTGTGTTTATTTGAGAGTGTGCTCCTCATACCGCTGAGGCCCAGTTGCCGTCTCTCCACGTTTTTGCGATACTCCTCCAGCTCCTTCTCTGACAGCTCGCTGAATGGGTTGGGAGGAAGGGGAGCCATCTGCTCCTCCTCTGTGGGCACGTATGGCTGGGGGAGGAGGAGGCAGGGAGAGCGGTTATCACGGAAACACAAATAAATGCTTACACATCCAGTTACACCTACACACTGAATACATGTGTGTATACAGGCAAACAAGCTGATACGGAAATGGTTAAAATACATAACATATAATCAACAAACTCACATACAACGTTTAAACTCGCACACCAAACTGAGATTAAACATCTGCTGAGATCTGAGTGAAAAAAACAAGTCAAGGAGACAATCGTGCTCCAAAGGAACCGTCACACTTCAAAACACCCACAAAAACGAGCATCACTGACTTAAAACAACAAAACAAGTGTAAATGAATTAAAAAGTCAATTTTGTGATACAGATACATGCAGCGTTTTTTTGTCTGAATATGTTAACAACTAAAAAAAACAAACAAATTAAATCCAATGCAAACACTGCAAACAAGAACAACGTAATGCCTGTGAATATTTACCATTACTCCTATCTGCCCCAGATCCTTGAAGACAAAATATTAACCACAAATTTATCAGCACCAAAGTGTCTGAATGACTCGTATTTTACTTTTAAAAAAAAAGGAAGAAGCGGGTGAAGATAATGGATGATCTCATGTTTTTATCAGTTTTATTTGAAGGTTGCTTCAAGAGAAATTTGCTCATCTGCTCATTTGCCTCCCCCTGCTGGCATCGTTAGCCTGCCTGTGGCTATCAGAGAGTTTCTGCACATCTCAAACACAGAAAATTATGGCTCTTTTGAAGCAAGATTTTGTGAAAAGGTTATGAATGATGAATATCTTACCTGTTGTAGAAAGCTTTTTAAACAACCTCACTTTGGACAAACGAGTTTAATTTTGAGCAGAGTGATGCGCTAGTTGCACACGGAGGTTGCTGCTGTTTTCAAAAACTAGTCTCAAATATGTCATGAAGGTTGATGCAAATGCAATTTCATAATATTCTATACCTTTCATTTTTAAAAAGCATGGTTATTTCTAAAGAAACATTATAAAACTTTGTCCAGAAGTGGCCCTGCTCAGACTAGCCATTATAGGAAGATAAATCAGTCTCAAAAGCAGGCGCACAGGCATACAAGATTTGTATGCGTACGATAAGATCCACAAGCGTACTACAAGTTTTACATATGCGCACTATATAATTTCAGCAACTATGACTGAATTGCAGAATTTTAATATCTATTTTTAAATATTTTTCATAAAATGGGATTTAATTGGGTCTTTTGTGTGCCAGCATTTAATAGTTTATTAAGTGAAGTCTTTGGCGATTCAGATACCGTATTTTTTGCCGTACACGTCGCTCCGCCCTATAAATCGCATCAGTCAATATTTGTCTAATAAAGTGGAAAAATCCATAAATATGTCACTTTGCAGTATACGTCGCATCTATTATGCATCACCGCTGTACAAATTTAACAAGATAAACGCCTAAACATTTATTTGTTTGCTCGAAATTATAGCAAAGGTGTGTCTCAGTGTAATGTTTCCTTAATAAATGCACTTTAATGGTCAAATTAGCTGCATTTTAAAAATAGTTATGCTGCTGAGGTGCTCCCGGGAACACGCAGACAGGGAGGGAAAAAAAAAGGAGGGAGGAACGCTACTCGTTTAATCGAAATTTAACAAGGAAAGCACCTAAACAATTATTTGTTTGCTCAAAATTATAGCAAAGGTGCGTCTCAGTCTAACATTTGCTTAATAGATGCACTTTAATGGTCAAATTAGCTGCATTTCACCGGGGTGGTGCAGCTGCTTTGACATTTCCAAGCAACAAGCAGAATGAAGGTGGGGAGACTGTGGCAGGCTGAATGTGTCATTAATAGCTGGTGAAGATTCTCAGTCATCCAGGACATGGTAAATTCAAAAGAGTTTATTTAATTTTTTTCTTTCTTAAAGTATACAGTAAAGTATAATAAAGTCCAGTTGTTTTTGTCTTGATCTTTTTTGAATTTGTCATTATAGCCACTTTTACCTATTACGTGATACAACAGCATGCCATATTACTATTACTACTCTGCTGCCATCAAGTGGCTGAAAGTGGTACTGCTCACATTTTTATTATTTTTTTCAGTCAAAATGAATGAAAACGATCATAAAATGTTTTATAAATATGGGGAAAAAAATCCATAATAATGTTGCTTCAGCCTATAAGTCACAGGGCATGTAAATTATGCAAAAACTGCGACTTATAGGCCGAAAAACACGGTAATTGGCACGAAGGAGACGTTTGACATGCATCGCGCTCACTTTCAGCCCAGCTGAGTTCTGCTCCGCCTCTTTTAGTTCCAGACAAAGTTCACACCTGAGAGAGACGTGGACGCTTCACCTGTGATTTATGAACCGTTTGAGGAAGAAATGGCCTGTACAGACATTTTATTGTAAATCGAAGCAGATGGGCACTTGTCCTGAGCCTGGTTCTGCTAAAGGTTTCTTCCTCATGAGGGAGTTTTTCCTTTCCACTGTCGCCTTCATGCTTTCTCAAGATGAGAGTTCTGTGATGGAGTTAAACTCAAAGCAGTCTGCTCCTCAGATAAATAATGTCAAATCATTTTTATATGTGAATGTTTCTGTTCAGTGCCCTGAGACGACTTCTGTTGTGACTCGGCACTATATAAATAAACTAAATTGAATTAAATGAGAACTGGTTCTTAATGGACCTACCTGGAACAGCAACATGTCGGTTATTCGGGGAACATTAAACATGGTGAAGATTTGTTTTTATTTTGACTAAACTTTTGGGTTCTGTTTATTGCGTTTATGATTCAGTGCAGCAAAATAAACAATCTAAAAGGTATCAGATCATTGTAATACTTGGTTTATTTACATAAGGAGTTTAATTGCTGGATGTCCGGCCCCTGAGCTGCTGGCTTTCAATAACTGTGGCCCCTGAGCAGTTTAGTTGCATAGCCCTGTCTTACACTGTCTTCTTTGTGAAGAACTTTCTGGCAGAAGTGTTTAAAAACAACAAAATTAGTCTGTGAGCCCAAAACCCTGGAAACAAGTTTCCTCTTACCTGTCGTGGTACGTCAGCAGGAATGCCTGCAAGGTGCTGGGACCTTGGCCCTGATGACATCACATCTAACCGGTTCTGCTCTCGGATCTGGAACCACACAACGATGTCACCAACAGGAAACAGCGAGTCCGATCATTTTTTTTTTCAACATTAATTTTTTTTTTCATATTTCTGCTTGATTAAGGTAATTTCTACCTTTTTTGTGCTCATTTCTGATTGTTTAAGCCTAATAAGGCAAAATTTTGCTCTCTCCACTTCCTTATGCTAATTTAAGCTTCTATCTGCTTTTTCAGCCACTTTACAGCTATTTTTTTTTTTGCTAATTTCAGGTGATTTTTTTTAAATTGACTAATTTTTTAGCTAAATTCTGCTTATTTAAACAAAACTAAGCAAATACGTGTTCTTTCTGCTTTCTTCTGCTAACTTAGTTCTTCAATTTCAGCTACATTTCAGCATGTTTTTAAGATAACTTCAGCTGTTTTTCCAGCAACTTATTTTGCAATAAGCATTCACACTGCACTTTTGCAGGACATGCAATTTCTCTAGTTAATAATAATTTTAGCCATTTTTAATTCTTATCATGGCACTTGGCTGCCTCTCCCATAGTTATTAGTGCCAGCTGGAGGTAAACAATAAACTTGTGAGCAGGATTAAATAAAGTTTCACTCACTTTGTTTCTTTTTTGCAGCACCTCACTGGGGTCTGTGTTTAGAGGGATGAACTGATTGGCGTCCTCAATCCGGATCGGAGTTCCTGTTTCGTCCGCCTTCAACCACTGAGAAGAGAAGAAACATCAACGTTGATTGTTACTTTGAGATAATTCCCCAATTATATATTTAACAAAATAGGTGATCTAAAACTACTTCCAGCTGATTTCAATATACATAAATTGCCCATCAAACTATCAGAGTTCCATAAACAAGTGTTATTATATTGGAAAATGCTCTACGTACATAATTACTCACCGCACTCCACTATCATATGGAATAACAGATTCGTACTATATCGCAATAAGTCATTACTTTACAAATAATGGATGGAGAGGAACATTTAGTCTGTTGTATACTTCATGGACGCTAATGGTTACATGTTAAACTATGAACAATTCTGTGCAAAGTATAAATTCTATCCACCCAAAGTTGAATTTTCCAGATTATTTAAAGCATTACCAAAACAATTTATTAATCAGATTCAACATATAATAGCATATCATCCTATAACCCCACAATTACCCACTTTATTTATTAATAGAATATCATTTACTGACAAAATAATCAACAACTACACAATTAGAAGCTGTCTACATGAAACTTTATTCCCTGGAAAATAAGTAAAAATAACATACTTTGCAAATTTGACAAAAAAAAAAAAAATCAATAGAAATATTAAGAACTCTATATTTAAAACTCCCCATACAACCAAAGGCTAAAAAGAAACACTTTAAAATTTTAAATGCAGTTTACCCCTCCAAAGAGCTACTAAGAAATTGTTTTAATATTGATGACAATAAATGCTGATTCTGTGAAAAAGATATAGAAACAATAGACCATATCGTCTATGAATGCAACTAAACCAAAATATTTTGGAATCACTTAGAAAGATGGATCACACTGAAAATTACACTTCCTGAATCTATTTCCAGAGACATGGTAACATTTGGAGTATTATTGGAAACAAAAAAATGGAACTCTGTTGTAATCTGATATTTTGTCTGGCAAAATTCTTTATTCATAAATAGAGAGTGCTAAAATCATCCCCAGTTTTTAACATTTTTTTTTTATCTGAACTCCAACTATATTTGAAATCTCTGAAATATATTGAAACACATGAAGACCTGTATGAAATGTTAATGGAATTGCCCACCAATGCATGCTAAACCTAATCCTAAAATATACTTGTAGTTTATTTTATTTATTTCACCATATTATTTTTTTTAAATCAGTTTTGCTTTTTGTGTTCCCATATCTAAGTCTGCCTCTGCTATGCCCCTTTTTAGATTTACACTATTGTGAATCGCCATACTTGTTTGTACATGTTTTTGATAAAAACTCCTAATAACCAGATATGAGCAGTTCACCATCTAACCACTAGATGGCAGTCAAACATTAAGTTGGAGCAGCTGGAGCTCTTCCAGTTTGAGACGTTTGCTTGGGTTTTATTCTCACCGTGGTTGTCCGGCTGTTGTAGCGCTCCTCTCCACCCTCCACGCTGACCTTGGTGTAGCTGTTGGGCGAATTGAGCCAACGTGTCTTCTCCCTCTGCTGTCGCTGCTGCAGGAACTTGAAGGGCAGCCGGGTGGCGTCGCCGTCCTCTTCAAACGTAAACGCCGTGACTGTGGCAGGGATCTCCACTTCGCTCTTGTGCCTCGGCTTCTCTCGCACGATGGGGTGTCTGTAGGCGTAACCCGTCCTGTAGCCCTGCAAGACGAGATGCAGACTGTTTTATTCTGAAAGCCTCCAGATTCATACAGGACTTGATGGAACGTATCACGTGAATCATTTGAAATTTGAGACAAAATATCAGAGTGAGAGAAATGCGCATCTATTCTGTGACCTTCCTTCTATAATGCTGATCATTCATATGGAAAATAAAGAGCGGCTGTAGGGTTCCTGGCAGCACAGATTACAGACTCATGGACTCATTTCCTGTTTGACTCTTTCTCACATCCCTCTCCCTCAATCCCCCTCTTCCTCTCCCCTTGCTTTATCCTCATTTCTCCACTTTCTTTTCTCACATTCCCACGTTTCCGCCGTCAGTTGTGTCGCTGCTGTTTTTCAATCAACTTTCCACACTCAGCTTTTCCTTTCATCTGAACCCCGCTGTCAAAGCTGACCTTTCAACTCGCCTTCATCGCCCAACTGAGCTGGCAGGACCTTTTCCGGCAACATCCTGCTTTCCATTCAGACGTTTCATCACATTCACAGCTGGGCGCTTGCTGTATTTTTACGATGAAGAGTAGAAGTGCTTCATTCACGTCTCCCCTCGTACTCGCCCACCCTCCCACTGCGTCTGACTGAGAGCTCATTGGAGACAAAAGGTTTTTGAATGACAGCTGGAGCTAGACGAATATTCATTTTCTTTGAAAACGTAGATTGAACGACTTGAGATGAAAAACTTTGCTGAAATTTGTTGAAGAATAAGTGATTTCCTTCTCAAATATACGTATACTGCCATTTTAACTGTTAACAGCTGTAATGTTTGAATCGCAATTGTCTGATTAGTCTTTCCCTCTGCAGGCGGGGATATTTTCTAACTTGGTTTTGTCACTTTGGCCAAAACTGCTCTGAACCAATAATTGCTAAAGACGTGCTCATTACTGCCCGTCTGTCTCATCAACCAGTAACATACAGAAAGTAATAACTGGATGTACATTTACAACTGATCAACTATTGAAGTCGCACTGATTCAAGATGGTCACCACAGCTAATCAACGTTAGCAAACACAAAAATGCTAATAACTCAAGATTATAAATAGCTAAAGGTCTGGGTCAGGGGTCTGCAACCTGCGGCTCTGGAGCCACATGTGGCTCTTTAGTCCCTCATCAGTGGCTCTTTGAAGCTTTGACCAAAACTTAATGAAATTTAATTGTATTGATTTTGATACCCACAACAGAAAAGGCTAGTTTTGACAGTTTTATTGTCAGATTTTTGCCCGATAACTACTATTGAATTCAATCCAATTCAGTTTATTTACATAGCACCAAGTCACAACAGAAGTCATCTCAGGACACTCACCAGAAAACAAGTTAATGACATTATTTATCTGTAAGATAAGATATAATAATAATAATAATTACTAGTAAGATAAGATAAGAACTTTATTGATCCTGCAGGAAATTGTTGACATAGTAAGTACCGGTAACTTAGTTTAGCAAGTTTCATTTAGCTGCTCCCGTCTTCAGGGGTCACCACTCGCATGAAAGACTTGGAAATTTGTTTTAAGCCGGATGCCCTTCTTGACACAACCTGAGCTCGAACCTTTCATTTCGTCCTTCATCCAAAGGACTTCATCAGTCCGAGGAGCCACAAACAAACTGAGTCCCACAAGCAGCACACTCACATAGTGGACCAACCAGTTTGCTGGTGATAAGATGGTTTCTGGGGTCCGCCCTCTCGCCGGTCGACTCCTCTGAGGCAAAGTGGTTCAAAACATGTTCAAGACTGAACAATGTTGGATTTTCTACCTGGATTATTGACCATGAACTTTGATGTTTTGAATCACTTTGGCTATGGCTGCCTCAGAGGAGTCGACGGGGGAGAGGGAGGGCCCCAGAAACCATCTTATTACCAGCAAACTGGTTGGTCCACTATGGGAGTGTGCAGCTTGTGGGACTGAGTTTGTTTATGGCTCCTCGGCCTGAAGAAGACCTTTGGATGAAGGAAACAAAGTTCATACTCAATCATCCAGGTATCAAATCCAATAAATCTCAGTCAGGTCATCTGGACAGTTTCTTTTTTATAGGGACGTTTCGCCCTCTATCTGGAGGGCTTCATCAGTCTGAGGAGTTCCAGTAAACTGTTTCCCCACCAAGCAGTAAACTCCTTAAGTGGACCAACCAGCTTGCTGGAGCTAGGATGGTTTCTGTGGGCCGTCCTGTCCTCCGTCGACTCCTCCCAGGCAGGCAGCCACAGCCAAAGTGGTTCAAGGAAGGATTAAACATCTCAGCAATAAAAGAAACCCTCCAGATGACCTGACTGTGTATTTATTTTACTTCTTTACATGATATGGTATCTTTTTGTCTTAAAATGTAAAAATGCCAATAAATGATCAAATTCATGATGTAATTTCAGTTTTATAATGCCACCCCCATTGGTCAGAAAAGGCCCCCCTCCAACAAACTCAGTGGCCCATGGGCCATCAGTTGATAACCAGCTGTAGCAGGTTTTGTGGCTCCAGACATGTTTCATTTAGTGAGCGAAGGGGCAAAAATGTCTCTTTAGATCAAACAGGTTGCAGAGCTCTGGTCTGGGTGGTAGTAGATGAGAGTCATTGCTAACAAATACTCTAAGCACTAACCTTTGCATAAAAAGTTGACATGTATAATTCACAGGGTTCAGTCTGCCGACTCACCAGATTATCCAGCATTCTCATCAGCGACTCAAACTCCAGCTCTCCCTTCTTCCACTTGTGTTGACCGCTCATGTTGACACTGTCACACGAGGCCACGGTGAACACTCGCGATTTGTACTTCTCCTGGTCCAGCACTATGAGGTTGTCCACCCCTCCAGCACACGAGATGGCATTCACCTAAAATAACAAAGTGAAGTGTGTAAAAGTCAGCTGATAAACCACGGCTCATAGAACACAAAACAGGCAAGAGGTCCCTCAGCAACAGGCGCAAACAGACGTCTTTACTCGTTTGCGGAGCTAAAGACGTCATTTAACAAAGCCAAAACCCCTACATCTACTGTAACTTTGAAAATATAGTGCATGACATAACAAATGTGTCTGAAGGGATTTATTTATAGAAATTAATCTGGATTTAAGACGGATTAATGTTTTCTTTCGCTAGGCAGGAGGAGCGTCACTTGGAGGATTCGGCACGCTGTTTCATAAAAGGATTAGACACCTTTTTCATCTAAGAACACACCAAACAAACAGGAAAATACAAATGTAGAACAATGATAGGCTAATATTATCTTCATTCATTCAACCTTTATTCATACAGGTTAATCCCATTGAGCTTCGGGGACTCATTTACAAGAGAGACACATCTTTACGCATCAAAGCATGAAATTCAACATGAACCTATAATTAATGCTAAAGGGATCATCAAGCTGAGCTTTTTTTTAATCTGTGATTTAATGAATAAAGAATGCCACAGTTATTAAATTATGCTATGATTATCAATGACAGATTAGATCATAATTCCCTTCATTAAAGTCCAAGTAGCCTGTGTTTGACTAATGTTTCCACATGACAAGAGATTACAAATTACTGAATGTTGTTAAAATACTATGGGGGAGGGGGGGGGTATGTGAAAAGCAGCTGGTGGGAGATTAGATTTACTGAGAGACCTGTTGCCCTGCTGCTCCACTGAACGTGCACTGCAGCTACGGGGGGGTGGAGGGGGCTGGAATGTGATGCTGGCTCTATGGGTGGGTGTGTACCTGGATTTCACAGGCGTAGTGGGCGTTGTAGATGAAGTGAAAGGCTTCTTCGATGGTCTCCCCGAGAGCGACCACGCCGTGATTTCTCAAGACCAAAACCTGCAAGAAACGATCATAAAGACAGCAAAAAATATTAGAGAAATTATTTGTAACCAGATTAGATAGATTCGTAGATGAACAGAATATTTTAAGTAATAACCAATATGGGTTTAGAGCAAATAATTCAACATCAATGGTTCTCATGGAACTAATAGAAGAGATAACTGCTGTTGATCAATAACAGTATTGTGTTAGTGTTTTTGTTGACCTTTGACACTACTGACCACATTCTCCTTGAAAAAGTGAATAAATATGGCATTAGAGGATTAGCACTACAGTGGGTATCCAGTTATTTGAATAATAGGAGACAGTTTGTACAGGTAAACAATGTAAGATCTGAATTTTGTGTGAATGAATGTAGAGTCCCCCAAGGCTCTGTGTTGGGACCAAAGTTGTTTATTTTGTATGTGAATGATCTGGTTGATGTGTCAGAGCTTTTGAAGTGTGTTTTATTTGCAGATGGTACCACGTTTTTTTGTTTGGGTGAAGATACTGATGTTAGAAATAATATAGGCAGAATTTGTAAAAATACAAACTAGTTTCCAACTTAATATGTTATCGTTAAATTTGGAAAAAACAAACTACATTATATTTAGTAATAGAAAGAAAACTATCGAAGTCCCATTTAAAATTGACAGTACTGAAATACAGAGAGTTAATGAAATAAAATTTTGGGGTGTTGTTATTGATGAGAAGCTGACATGGAAATCTCATGTAAATTACTTAAGAATAAAAATATAAAAATCAATTGCATTCCTGTATAAAGTAAAATAGTTTTTGAATGACAAAACTTTGTATATATTGTATAATGTAATGATTGATTCATATTTAATCTATTGTATTGAAGTTTGGGCAAAAGTATGCAAAACAATTACAACTCCTATTTTTATTTTACAAAAAAAAAAAGAGCTATAAGAATTATCAGTAGGAAGTGCTATGGTCACCCAACTAACATTATTTCATCAGTTGAAATTATTAAAATTTTATGATTTGGTTGAATATAGTATTTTACAAGTCATGTATAAAGCTCATAAAAAAATATTACCCCCAAATATTCAATTAAATTTTGTTAAAAAAAGAGTCGTTATAACCTGAAGGGAATGGAAATGTTTGTAAAACCTCCATAAAGAACTAGTGTGAAGGAGCTGCGTTGTAGTTCAGGGAATAGGATTGTGGAACTGCCTCGATATCACCATAAAAATTTATAAAACAATTTATATGTTTAAAAAGATGATTAAGTTAAAATTGTTAGGAAAGTATGATACAATGTGAAGAATGCCTCATGGTTTTTGTTTTCGCTTTGGGGATTGTTCAAGCCCGAGTTGTTGTTCGTAGTTATTTTATATATTTTTTTAAATAAGGGGCAGATATTATAAGAATTTTTTCTTCTTCTGTACCCTTTTCATTCAATTTTTTTCTTCTTTTTGATGACATTTTTTTTAAAAATTCTTTTAAATGAACGAATAAATTAAATAAAAATAAATAAACAGTCAGATTAAACAAGTTGTTAAGAATTGAGTAAAAAATATAAATTTTTATCCTACGAATACAAACTACTGATACCTGCAGCCAGTTTAGAAACAAAAGCAGAGCAGATCGTTTAACAGGACGCCCCACTGCTTCCTACTTTAAACACACCACACCCTGATAACTGGCTCTTTTCTTTCTTGAGTCCAAGAACCAAATATAGAATATCCTTTTCCTTGGATTATTTTTAACGCTGCTTGAAGGTATCGTGTGTACGTGATTAGTTTTGCTCCTCCCACCTTCGCTGTGGGCCCCAGGGCCTTCTGCAGCTCTATACGCTCCTCCTGGTCATCCAGGCTGCCCTGGTAGCTGTAGTACGCAATGTCACCCAAGATCAACGCCTCCTGAGAAATGGGCAGGATGCCGCACTTCATAGATGACACCTAAACACGAGGCAAGACAGTGGTGCATAAAAGCAGCAAATTATTTCAGAGACATATATTTCAGGTTCAGGAGTTATCTCTGTGTTATGATCTTAGAGTCCTCCAGTAAAATAAAGTGTCAGCGAGCAGCAGAAGCAGAGACTGAACTGGACTGTTGTTTGCTTGCAGGACAGCCAGACGCGACACAGTTCGGTGCAAAGTGAACTTACAGCTGCTGTGGCAGGCGTGTGCACGTGTATGATGCAGCGGATGTCTGGCCGCATGGAGTAGATGGCAGCGTGTGGGCTGAAACCTGCGGGGTCAATCCTCAGGTTGGTGGAGCCCTGCTCGATCACATCCCCGATGATGTTCACCTTCACCTGAAGAGACGAGAACAGCGGAGTCTCAGCGGAAGTCTGCTTTGGATTTGGTTTGTTTTAATTATTTTTTACTCCAAACTGCTGTTAAAACGGGATAAAAGACATTTAAATACGGGCTATTAAACTTAACGGGAGCATCTTAAAAACGTTACTAGAACTGCGTTCCTCCACCTGTGTAATATCACTAAAATTAGAAACATCTGGCTTAAAAGTGATGCAGAAAAATTGGTTCATGCATTTGTCACGTTTGGACTGGACTATTGCAATGGTTTATTATCTGGGTGTCCAAATACTTCTTTAAAAAGTCTTCAGTTAATCCAAAATGCTGCTGCCAGAGTCTTAACTGGAGTTACTGGGAGAGATCATATCTCTCCAGTTTTAGCTTCTCTCCATTGGCTCCATGTCAAATTCAGAATTGAATTCAAAATCTTACTTCTAACCTACAAAGCCCTCAACAACCTAGCTCCATCTTATATTACAGATCTTACAGTTCCATATTTTCCCAACAGAGCACTTCGCTCTCAGACTGCAGGTTTACTTGTGTTTCCTAGAGTTTCCAAAAGCAGAATGGAAGGAAGACCTTTCAGTTATCAGGCTCCTCTCTGGTGGAACCAACTTCCAGTTTCTGTCCACGAGGCTGACACATTGTCCAGTTTTAAGACTGGGCTGAAGACTTTCCTTTTTGATAAATCTTATAGTTAGTCGGCTTGGTTTCCTGACCTATTCCTTATCCTATGCTGCTATAACCTTGGACAAATGGAGAACAAATTGACCTCATTTCATTAAAGAAATAGTTTATATTTGTCCAATAATAATAACAATAGTCAGGTCATCTGGACAGTTTCTTTTTTCTAGAGACATTTCACCCTCTATCCAGAGGGCTTCATCAGTCTGAGAAGTTCCAAGTAAACCATTTCCCCACCAAGCAGTAAACTCCTTAAGTGGACCAACAAGTTTGCTGGAGATAAGATGGTTTCTGGGGGCTGTCCTGTCCCTCGTCGACTCCTCCCAGGCAGGCAGCCACAGCCAAAGTGGTTCAAAGCAACAAAGTTCATGCTCAATCATCCAGGTACCAAATCCAATAATGCTCAGTCAGGTCATCTGGACAGTTTATTTTTTCTAGAGATGTTTCACCCTCTATCCGGAGGGCTTTATCTGTCTGAGGAGTTCCAGTCAACTGTTTCCCCACAAATTATTAATTATTCTTTCTTAACATGTGATTTCTGTCTTTTTGTCTTTCCTTTTAGAGAAAACCTGATGGCCTCCATCCTGGACCAGTTATTGTGTATCTGTTCCTCTCAAACCCAGCTGGTTGAAGCAGAGGGTGGCTTGTCCTGAGCCTGGTTCGGCTGGCGGTTTCTTCGAGGGAGTTTTTCCTTTCCACTGTTGCCTCTGTGCTTGCTTAGGATGGAAGACTGTGATGAAGGGAAACCTCAAAGCAATCTGTTAGCTCGTTAGATAAATAATCTCATTAACTGACTATATGTATATGACTGTTTCTGTTCAGTGCCCTGAGATGACTTCTGTTGTGACTCGGTGCTACATAAATAAACTAAACTGAATTGAATCTTGATGGCTCACCTGAATGGAAGACTGTTTAAAAACTGAATAGGCACAAAACCAGATCCATCCCCACAAAGACGTTTAATAACCTCCTTAATGCCAACCAGGCAGACAGTGACACATGTCAAAATGAAAGAGCATGACAACAAAAAATATCAACAATCTTTGTTGTCTGTCTGCTTCTCTCAATAAAATGTCATTATCAGGAAACGTGATACGATCAGGGAAGTGGACAAAATGCCCCTTACTTAGACAACTTCATTAGCAGCCAGTTGGCAGTTATTACATTAACTGACAGGAGAGGAAAGATTTAGAGGCAAAGATAGAGCTAAAAAGACTCTGAAGGGGGAAAGGAGCCAGATAACCGGTGCACAAGTATGAAAGAAAGCCAGACAGGAAGTCGTTGATTTTAAACCTGAGCAGAGGGCGATGCCAGAACTGATTGCAGATGTCCATCAAATGTAAAATCAAAAACCAAACTGAACACTAAACTTCGGCTGCAAATATGGAACACCATCAGAACCACATGCTGTTCTGGAATAAAATCCAGAACATGCCAGCTCACATTTCTCCTTCACAATATAAGATGGATTATACAGGACTACAGGAAATGGTATCTATCTATCTATCAGCTTGAAGCTAAAGCAAAAAACCAATGAAATCAACCCGAGCTGGATGATCTATCAATGAAAAAGAGCCGGCCTCGAATTTGGAAAAGGTTTAAAAGTTAGCAGAGAAAATTAAAAAAAATCATTAGAAGTCGTCATCAAGTTGATTTTTTTTGGATTATTTGAAATACAAATAACAACCAGCAAGCTGGCTCTAGAACATCACAAAACTTAAAAATGCTTTTCAAATCTTTTGCAGCAATTTCTATTTTCCTATATCGTTCAATCAGTTTGACTTTAGCTGCATTCAATACCAAGTGAAACGCACATGTAAAGCAACAGTTCCTATATGAACAATTTATGAACAATCAATATCTTACCTGTTAGATAGTGCTTTAAACTAGCTCTGTTGGAGCAATTAAGTTTATTTCAGACAGGATTAAAAGCTAACGGCTCATTTGAATGAAGCCAAGAACAAAGTGGGTTGCAGCCATTTTACTACCGTCAGTTTTACATTATGCAGTTATTTAAATCAAATTCCAAGGTCATTTGCAATCCTGCAGCTAGCGGCTGGGATTTTTCTTGCAAATAACCTCAAAAGTTTGTTTAATTAGCTGTATAACATAAAAGTGGTGGCAGTGTAAATGTGAATAAATAGCATATGTACTGTATGTACCAGTATGAAATGTATGAGACTGAAGTCGTTTTAAGATGGCAGCCAGCCACTTTGCTCTTGGCCCCACTCATGCTAGCTGCTGTTGCTAGCAGCCAGTGTAGCCTGGCATACTTCCAACAACAATTTCACAATATAGCTATATATCCTTGAATAATGCAAAACTGACAGTGACAGGAGTGTAAAACGTAAAGTGCTCCAAAGTTTTAAGGATTTGAGTTATTTTAAGGTGAAAGCAGTTCACTTTGGTATTGGCTGCACTCAAGCTAGCTGTTAGCTCGTCAGTCAGAATTAAACTACTGTATTTTTCGGACTATAAGTCGCTCTTTTTTCATAGTTTGGACAGTCCTGCGACCTATAGTTGGAAGCGATTTATATAGGCCTACATTTTTTTCCCTATTCATGATGCAATTTTTGACTGACGCATTAAATGTTCATTCATTTTTACATGAACCAAAGAGTGAATATTACCAATTTTAGCCACGAGAGGGGCCGTCTAGGCTTTTTGCCCTATTTGGCTTTTGAACTATTTGTTGTTCCACTTCTGCTAGCGAAACCGAGGATGGTAAATTGCTTGTCGAACTCATTGGCTTGTTCTGTTATTAAGCCTGTTCAGGATCCCAGTTATGTTCTGTGTGTTATTGTTATTTCAGATTAAATGTCTGTTCTTTCACTTTGTGAAATACACTTCTAAATAAATGCAACTTAAACACTGAAGCAACTTATGTTTTTTTTTCCTCTTCATGAGGCATTTTTTGACTGATGCGACCTACCTGTATACTCCGGAGCGACATATTATCCGGAAAATAAGGTATTTCTTCAAATTGAAGTTAAAGATAAATTAACAACTGAAAATATATTTATTGTTCATGCATTTTCAGCAGAATCACACTTAAAAAAGTCTGAACCATACATTTAATGCTTATTTCACTTATAAACAATGATTTTCACTTACATTTAATGTACGTATTTCTAAAACTGATTAACATTTGGAGCCAACCCAATTCATGATGGCCAACACAGCCAACTGGCCTTGGAAAATGCAAAAAATCGCTATAATATTGTCAATTTTACACATATTGAGCTAAAATTTGATGTGGCAGTAGCTGAGACTTTCACTTAAAGGTGCCCTTTGTGACTTAATAAAACCAATCCAGAACTGCAGTCCAAAACCGAAATGAGCCCTCCAAGCAGCAATTAGATACCTCTATCTCAGAAAAGACAGACAAATGCTGCACTGAAAGACTTCGTGATGAAACATTTAATGTTATGCTGAAATGTACACAACGCAGAATAACATGCACAATAAAAAGAAAGGAAGGGAAAGACCAACACAAGACCTTTTCACTTATCAAATAGTGGGTTGCTGCTGTAATATGGTTCAAAACAAGTTACAATCTATCTTAGATATTCAAAGATTTTGAAGCAACTTAGCATTGGTATTAGCAAACATTGCATGCAAAAAGTTGAGTTTTTTACTATAAAGGTTGACATGTCACAAAACAACAACTTTGTTTTGTAATGCTCTAAACGAAGCATTTGTTTGGCTATTAATCTTTAACAAAGGCTCCATTTTGCAACAGATGCATATATATTAGAAAAAAACTTAAATCTGCTCAAATATGACAACAAAAAGTCCAAAGTTTGCAAGTTAACTAATGCAGAAAATCCTGAAATACGTCCCATACGGTGCTCAGATTTTGAACTAAAGGATGTTTCACCACATGACGACCTATCGATCCGCCATCAACCATACGCAAGTGAATGGCATCAGCCGAGCGGAAGTAATTACGATCATATTTGTTCTCCACAAAGCCTCAGACAGATGGCAAGCTGTCGCACATTGATTCAGTTACATCACATGTCCAAAGCAACATCAGATCACCCTGTCACGTCCTTCAAATCAATGCCTGTCCATCAAATATAGTGAGAAATGTGGCCCAGCTAATAATATAAATATGCAAAGGGATGTTTCAGAAAGAATCTGAAACATGACGCTACTGAGAAACAAAAAGAAGCTAATGGGAAGAGTTTGACCTGAAGATCTGAGTGTCTCTAATATTATTTTGCAGCTTACGATGAAATACTTTAAACTGAAAACTTTGCCAAGTCAAATAAAACACACACAAACTAAAAATAAAAATCCACAGAATATA